TTCAATGAAATCCAAACATAAAAGATTTTGTGACTCTTTGGGACATTTTAGCCAAGCCATGCTCCACTGTCCTACACCTGATATCATATCTGCAATGTATTTCATGTCAAACCTCTCTTTGTTAATGACTTGCAGTGTTCTTCTTTAATTTGTATCCCTAACATTCTATACTGGATTTGCTCTGAGTACAGGTATGGAGCGCTATACACAAATCATTCAAATGAACAGAGTTGAGAAAGACAATTTTCAGCTTACAGTAAAAGCACACTTGAATGGAACCAGGAGAGGAAACCTTAATGGCTGCAGATATATTATGAAACATGATATGCCCACCACCCCTTCACAGCTTTTCATTGTTTATTAAAACACCATTTCATTCCTACAGATTTTATTTTATATGTAGCGCATAATGATTCTATTTTTTGTTTCAATTGCTGCTTCATTTTTATATTGCTAGGTGTTTTTAAAATGGCATTGTGACTTCAAATGCAAAGTGCCTTTTGTACCAGAATGGTGGGATAAAAAAGCTTTACTAAAACACAAAATAAAGGATATACCTTAATATACACATTTTTACAAGCAATCTTCCCCAACAGAATGCAATTTCTGCATTATTTTCACTAAAAAAATGCCTTTCTAGGTATACTTTCCCCTAGAATACACATTTGTGAACAGGTTATTTATTGGAGAACTGTATGGCAAAATTCAGAGAAGTTTAAAGAGATTTCAAAGGATAGCAGCATTTTGTTTAAAATATTGTTTCAGGAAGTATGGATTATGTAGATTCAAATTAAAATGTGAACCAAATCAAATTTGTATTCCATTCCTGTTTCACAGATCCTTTCAGTAATGTATTAGTTGCAATGTCAGAATAGAACTGAAGATACTCAGGATCAAGTCCTTGTTCAGCCATGAAGCTCACTGGGTGACCATGGGACAATCTCTGCTCTTTAATCTAAACTCCCTCACATATGGTTGTGAGGATAAAATAAGGAAACATATATGCTACATTGAGTTGAGGCATAAATAAAGGTGGGGTGATACACTCTCTCTCTCTCTCTAAGACCAGAAAATGCTTAAATGCCCACAGATTTCACATTCCAGATTGGGTCTTTGCACCTGACTCTAGCTACTGACTCTCCCCCCCCCCCCCGTATTCTTACTAGAAATGAGTTTTGTCTCCACACCTGTTGCACCATGATGTCACAGTGTGTGGTTGCAACATTGCACACCTGAGAACAATAATGTTCACATTTGATTAATGCTTACTCTGTGATGATGAAAACTCTGCTCTGTTTTGTTTTACCAAAGGCAGCATTGCCAGTGGTCAGGTTCTCCATCCCCATTTTTGGGAATAGAGAGGAAGGCTGTGGAAGAGAGGCCTCAAAATTGAACTGTGGGAGTTGAAAGCTTGTCTACCAGCACTAGAAATACTGATGGGAATATACCCGAAAGGGTAGCTTTAGCAAATGCCTATTCATTGTATTCTAATACACCAAGCATAATTTCCAGATTCTTCCCTACCAAGCATTAATGAATGAGTTTGTGATGATATTGACTGTTTCATCTCCATACCAAAAGGGAAAATATATTTCTGCATGTAGCACTTTTTGAACTCTCTAGAGGTCTTTTGACCTGAATTTCCCTACAACACTGTTTTATTATCATTCTATCCCTGATGGATTTTATCAGAAGAAGGCTCCCAACACTTTCCCTGCGGAATTAGGTTCCCTCAAGCATTGGATGGCATAAATACAGTGAATACATCAAAATTCCACCTAGATGTGAGCATCGGCTTGTGCCTAGTGACTTCACTTCAAACATCCATATAAAATGTGCAAATATTAGGGTGGGTGGTGGAGCAATGCTCCAGTTTAGCAAAGCTAATGCTGCACACCTGGTAGAAAACATGCTGATGTTCTAGCAAATGTGTAGGTCAGAAGCAGGACTTGCTACCACTCTTATGCTTCCTCTGAACATGTGTCTGTTGAATAGTCACACAAAGATAAATTATTTATTTCATAAAAATCATACACATGGTCTGATTATAAAAGGGGGGAAAACTAAAAGCAGTATACATTAAGAATTTAGAAATGCTAAATATATAAAAAGCCATTGGAAAATTGTATCTTAAATGGCTTTGGAAACATAGGATTTTTGTAAATAATTTGATGTTCCTTGCAACTTTAGAGAGAACACCACTTCTATTTAGTGGATTAAATGCATAGAATTTTGTTGCTTCCGTGAATTCATTGGCAGGGTATTCTCAACACTTTTCTTCAGTCCTGAGCTGTATTGAGGGTGAGAGCACATCTATGAAAAGACCTATGTTTGGAACTCTATTTTTCACTGTTTTGGAGCAAGAAAGAGCAAACATTCTGCAAAGTAAGTTTTTAAGGGTGTGGGGGGTATGATTGTTAAATCTAAATCAAAGGTCATAAATTCTGATGAAACATGAATACGCTTGCCTGTGTTTTAATTCTGGTGTTGAGGTGTGTGTATGTGTATTAAGGATGTTCCCAGCCGACTGGATCCTGTGCTAAGTGGTTGGCCGGGATAAGTAGATGTCCATGCCACCACAGGGCTGCCATGGAGTGCCTTATTTGAGGGACAGGTGGAAACCTGTGAGCCTCCACAGTGGCCGGAGGGGATTGGGAAACAATCTAAAATGGTCTGCATGTCTGGAGGAGAGAGGAGGTGCCACGTCAGGCTGCAATCGCCACTGACTGACAATACAGTAAGCAGCCATTCTGGTATGTGTGTATTAAGGATGGCAATGTTGACAACTAGATCCACTTCCTAGGAAACTCCCAACAATGGGATCATATGTATATTTATTTTGATTCATTTAGAATCATAATCAAGAAAAGTAAAGGTGAGGGAAATAAACAAATGAGGAAAAGAAAGGGAAAGAGACATAATTAATGAATAAAATGCAAATGATTCAAAGCAGACTCGTGGGTGCCACTTGACCTCTCTCTTTTTAAATTATTCTACCTGCAAGGTGGATGACTTGCATTTGGGACATTTGGAAAGCATGAGAGCTGATGAATAATCAAATTTAAATCTACACATTAGTCCAAGAGATGACAATTATGTTGACTCACACAGGAATTGTCACAGACTATGCCCATTTATTATGTTTTTAAGACAGTTGAGAATGTTGTGATGCTTTGAAAGCCAGAGTAAGAAAAGAGTGCAACATATTAATTGGCATCTACCCACTGTTCTTGATTACTGTTTGGCAAACTGACTCTATCAAATGAGCTTGCAATGTCATTAATACCTTCAGTAAGTTGGATGCAGTAATACAAGGTTACCCAAACAATTTTTAGCAAGCTGCTTGTTTTTAAAAGGGTTCCTTGCACATTATTTCCAATGAAAAAGAAGGTGTAGTATGCAGAACATCAAACAGGGATAGACCTCTCTCCCCTCTCTGTCTCTCTCAATTCCACACAGCCCCTGGAGATATTGTTACAAAATCACATTATGCCATTTCCAGTGACATTTATGGCTCCATTTTGAATATGTGTGGCAGAATCTGTGCTTTCTAACGGCTTAGAGAGATTTTAGTTTTGAAAAAGCTAAAGAAAACAAATAAGAGAATGGATAAAAAGTCATTGGACCACCTCATAATTCTGTAAATTATATGGCTCTCACTAAGAGCCATATAAACACAGAAAATAAAAATTAACTCATAATCAGATTTGCTTTGAATTACAAAATATTTTCTTACTTAGCAGTTTTCTAGACTGCCTTTCCTCTCACAGGGTTATCTCAGGACAGTTCATAATTCGGGGTTAAAGTTCACATGATTGGATCAGGGCATGTTATATATTTGAGAACTGCAAACCTACTATATTTGACATGAACTGATTAGTTTTGATTTCCAGCAGCACCATTATTCATGATGTGTTTGCATTGACCATATTATCACATGACAAAATTGTGTTGTTTTAATGCAGTGCATTCCTTCACTTATAAGAATCTTAATCCAACTGTGTGTACAATTGGATCAAGTTTACTTCTTTACACTGTTTTAGCAATGCATACAAGTCAACACCTTCAACTATGCACTGTGGACCACAAAAACTTATGCAGTTATAAATTTGCTAGTATTTAATGAGCTGTAAGCCAAACCACTATTTTTGCTTCAGCAAAAAATCTACCCAGGAAAGTGCTTTTTCTGCACTTTTTCACAATATGTACAGCTGTACATTATCAACATGTAGAAGATTGGGGGGGGGGATATATGAGAAAGCTGAAAGTGAAATAAAACTATGCACACATAGTGCTAGAAAGTAGAAAATTGTAAAATATAAAAGGACCCAAGAGAGAATTCTGAATCCATCCATTTTACTTCAGGTAATATATCCCAAAATCTGAGAATGAATTAGGAAAATTTGGGAACAATGCCCATTTATGAGTGCTATTGTATTCACACCCTCTTGGGGGTCTTATAGAAAGCCAGTGTAAGAACAGAATGATGAACCACATAGCTCTTTTGGCTGATTCAGCAGGCACTTCTTAAATTCCTAAGCATTTTGTAAAATCTGTTTTGAATTAAAGCATGTGATAATTTAGACAATTCTTAATCCAATTTCAAAGGCATTTGTGTATGAGGTTCATGGGGTAATTACATTCATTAACAAAACAGTTCTGAGAAAGATTGCAAATGAGGGAGTGGGAAAGATAATGGTTTGGTCTGCATGCCAGGCTAAGCAAACCATAATTTAGCATCAACATATGAGAATGGGGCTTCCAGGAAGAAAATTTAATCTACTTTGTTCTTCTCTGATCACTTTGCTGCCATGCCATGCCATGAGATTTGAATCCACTCTAACTTTCTCCAGACTAACTATGGATTTGTAGAATTCCTTTATCCTAAATTACATTTTTGCCTGGTGTGACATGCAAGCCAGACCAGTATCAATAGTGTAATCATCTGATTTTATTAATCTATATCTGCCTTTTCCTCTTCCATACAGGATATCCATTCTATGGAAGAGCTAGCTGAGAACCAGACCAGTCTAAATGAGTTCATCCTGATAGGGTTTTCATACCTCGCTGAATGGCAAATCTTGCTGTTTTTGTTTTTTCTGCTGATGTACATTACTGCCTTAGTTGGAAACATGCTCATAATTCTGCTTGTGAAACTCAACCATTCCCTTCAAACTCCCATGTACTTCTTTTTGGTAAACCTATCTTTCTTAGAAATAGGTTACACCACTAGTGTGGTGCCCCAGATGTTGGCACATCTGTTAACAAAGCATAAAAGCATTTCCAAAGCTAGATGTGCAGCCCAGATGTATGCCTTTACCATCCTGGGGCTGACAGAATGTTGTCTCCTGGCAGCTATGGCATATGACCGCTATGTTGCCATATGCCACCCATTGCACTACACAGTAATCATGAATCACCAAGTCTGTACACAGTTGGCAGCCGCAGCGTGGATTATTTGCTTCTTGGTACAAGTTGCTCAAACAGCATGGATCTTCAGTTTACCCTTCTGTGGTTCTAAACACATCCAGCATTTCTTTTGTGATATCCTACCAGTGGTGAAAACGGCATGCACAGATACCTACAAAAATGAGATTGCTGTCATGGCAGTGACCATCACTTTTATCATGAGTCCATTCCTACTAATTATCCTCTCCTACGTCCGTATAATTTCAACCATCCTTAAGCTTCCTTCTGCTGAGCAAAGGCGGAAAGCCTTCTCCACTTGCTCCTCACACCTCACGGTGGTGACATTATTCTTTGGGTCAGGCCTCTTCACCTACTTAATGCCCAAGTCCAAATATACTTCACGGAGTGACCAAATGAGTGCTCTTATGTACACAGTTGTCACTCCAGTTTTAAATCCCGTTATATATACCCTAAGAAATAAAGAAGTGCAGAAAGCATATAAGAAAACAATTGCAAGGGTCTTCTCTCCACGAAACCCAACTAGCTGAATGTCCGAAGAATGGAGCATAGAAAAAAAGGAAAAAAGTAAACACCAAAGACATAACTACTGATTAAGCGGATGTAAATATTTCATTCAAATGTGGCTCATCGCTGCATTATTGCAGGAAGCCAACCAGATCCCAACCCAATGCAACCTGGACTGTCTGTATGTCAGTGATCATTTAAGAGGGATTCTTGCTTTAACTATAAATCGACATGTGCTTTGATTATTGATTATTTCTTTTTGTAGACTGTTTGCTGTACAGGAACCTGCTTTTTACATGTGTCTTACATGGTTATTGAAGAACTAAGTGTGAAGCACACTCAGTAACAATGGTTTTTATTGCTGTCATACAGTTGACATCTTTTCTCAATAAATATTAGGTATCCATTTACTCACAGACCCAATTCTGACACACACAAAGTGTGTGTATGACTACGTTTTAGATTTTACTAAAATTCTCCTCTGTGGGGAAGGCGGTGGAGAGTATCTCCCACACACGCTAGGTGCCACTGCAGCCCCGAACACCCTCCTTCAGTGATGAGCTTTTGGCACTGAAAACTGTCTTTGTTTCAGCAAGTGTCATTTTGTGGCTACAACTATGGGTGAGCTCCAGCAGCCAGTGCGCCCCACAACAGCCAGTGCTCCTTCCACAGCAAGGCTGGAGCCGGGAGGCCACCCAAATAACTACAGCCATGTTGAACCACAACTTCCACTCCCTTCGAAGTTGGTCTTCATTTGCCTTAGATTATTATCTAGACTGATGAAAGGACTGTGTATAACTCAAGTCCTTGTATAGTGCACTGGATGCAGCTGTTGGTATGCATACAATGCACTGCACGACCCATTCCATTCATGTTATTCTAATCAAACATGACTACCTAGTCTTTTTTATCTATCCATTCATTAATTTCATAAAATTTATATAACTGCTTGGTTGTAGAAAAAACCTGAAAGAAGTTTGAATCCACAGGAAATTAGATGGGTGAAATTTAGATTGCATTGAAAAGCAGTATTTTCAATTCCTATTAAAATGTGAGGTTTCTGGAGTAATGAATTTGCATCACCCAAGGATTAAATGCATATATTTTTTGTTAGCCATTCTTACCCCCATGGATTAGTTAGCAGAAAATTCCCAAATGTATTCCTTCAAAATTGAGTTGCATCAAGAATGAGACCACATATATGAAAATATCTTTGTTTGGTGCATCATGGTGCACCGCTCTGACGCATGAAACAGAAGTTACTTCTTTTGCAAAGTAAGATTTTATGGTAGTAAGGTATGATTGTTACATCTAAGTCAAAGAACTTTTGATCACAACTGACTGTGTTTTAATTCTGGTATGTTTGTCTGTAATGCTTTTATAGCTAGATACTGTTAGGAGAATCTCAACTGTGAGATATTCTATCATCTATCTCTATCTATCTCTATCCATCATCTATCTATCATCTATCATCTATCATCTATCTATCTATCTAGCTATCTATCTATCTAGCTATCTAGCTATCTATCATCTATCTATCTATCTATCTATCTATCTATCTATCTAATCTAATCTATCTATCTATCTATCTATCATCTATCTATCATCTATCTATCTATCTATCATCTATCTATCTATCTATCATCTATCTATCATCTATCTATCTATATCTATGTATCTATCAATCAATCATCTATCTATCTATCATCTATCTATCTATCTATCACCTATTATTTATCATCTATCTCTATCATATATCTATCTTATTTTATTTACAACCAAGAAAATTCAAGCCATGAAAGAAATGAAGAAATAAAGGAATATAAATGATTCAAATAAAACTAGTGTGTGTTTTTCAGTGTTTTACCTTACTCTACCTACAAAGCCACAGATCACAGTGAAGAAAAGTTACAGTGCTCATAGCATTCAAGCAATGGGACTTCAGTTTCATTTTCTGATCACATGCCCCCCCTTCCCCTAGTGTGCTCCATAAGGTCACTGAACCTCCTAGAGCAGGTTTTGAGGGTGTGTGGGTGCTTCAGGAGAATCTAAGTTCCAATGCACAAGGAGAGTCTCTTCTGTGAGTGGAAGAGCAGTGTTGAGTACAACCCATTGTACCTGAGTGCTTTCCATTTCATGGCTAATAGGAGGTTGCAATTTGAAGTCTGCTTCACCAAACAGATCAGATGAGCTTAAACTGAAGCACGCTGTAAAACATGGGTGGGAGATCTTTGGTGACCCCCAGGTTTTAGTGGAATCCGAGTTCCATTGTCTGTGACAGACATGGAAAATAGTCCACTAACAGCTGGAAAACCACAACTTCTCCATCCCAGCCTCAAAAGCTTTGATGCAAGGGGCAAATATATTACTTTATGACTTAAAAAATAATCTGCATGAATGAGTTCTGGCAGCATCAATAATAACAATGTGATGGTAATGAACATGTGATGGCTTTCTTAAAAGTCTTGTGCTTTGCTGAGATATAAAGCGGCTCTGTACAGTGATAAAACACAACTGGTGATAACTTTAATCCAAATGCATGTACAACTGGATCAAGTTTACTCTTTTATGCTTTTTTAGGAATTCGTATAAGTCATCAGTAGCATTGGTGGATTGTTGACCATGAACTATTATGTAACAATAGATTTGTAAATATTTAAAGAGCTGCATCATTGACCACTGTTTTTGGTCAACGGGGGGGGGGGGGGGGACATAACACAGCTTCTTTACTGCATCCTTTTTTCTCAACATGTACACCTGTACACTAGCAATGTGGATGCACTTGGAGAGAGCAGGGATATATGAGGAAGCTGAAAATGCAACTAAATTGTGTCTACACTGTGCTCATTGAAAGATTGAGAAATATGAAAGGAACCATGGGAGGATTCTTGAATGTATTGGTTTTATTTCCAGGGAGAAAGCCAGTTAATTTAGAACTCCAAACTCTGAGAAGGAATGTGGGAAAATTTGGGAACTTCTTTTGCCTCCAGTAAGATTATCCTAATGACTGCTAGCCATTTTACATTCATAGTCACAGAAAGCAATCCTCATTGGGGAGACAGCTACTGCATCATTGTCCTGTTTGAGGGCTTCATGTAGGCTTCTGTTTTGCCACGGTGAGATTAGGATCATGCACTAGATGGGTCTTTTGGATGCTCCAGGTGCCTCTACTATGATTACCACATTTAATTAATTATCTGTATTTGTCATTTCCTTTTCCACACAGGATATCCATTCTATGGAAAAACTAGCTGAGAACCAGACCAATCTGAATGAGTTCATTCTGGAGGGGTTTTCATATCTTGCTGAACTGCAAGTCTTGCTGTTTTTTGTTTTTTTGGTGACATACATAATCACCTTGCTGGGAAACACGCTCATTATTCTGCTCATAAAACTCAACCCTTCACTTCAGACTCCCATGTACTTCTTTTTGGTAAACCTATCATTCTTAGAAATGTGTTACACCACTAGTGTGGTGCCCCAGATGCTGGTACATTTGTTAACAGAGCATAAAAGCATATCCCTAGCAAGATGTGCAGCCCAGATGTATGCCTTCACCATCCTGGGGCTGACAGAATGTTGCCTCTTGGCAGCTATGGCATATGACCGCTATGTTGCCATATGCCACCCATTGCACTACACAGTAATCATGAACCGCCGGGTATGTGCACAGCTGGCAGCTGCATCATGGATTACTTGCATCTCAGTAGAAATTGCTCAAACAACATGGATATTCAGTTTACCCTTCTGCGGTTCTAAACACATCCAGCACTTCTTCTGCGATATCCTACCAGTGGTGAAAATGGCATGCACAGACACCTCCAAAAATGAGATTCTTGTCATGGCAGTGTCTACTATTTTCATCATGAGTCCTTTCCTGCTGATCATCCTCTCCTACATCCGTATAATTTCAACCATCCTCAAACTTCCTTCTGCCAAGGGAAGGAGAAAAGCCTTCTCCACTTGCTCCTCACACCTCATGGTGGTGACACTATTTTTTGGGACAGCCCTCTTCACCTACTTAATACCCAAGTCCAGCTACACTCCGCGGAGCGACCAAATGATTTCTCTTATGTACACAGTTGTCAGTCCATTTTTGAACCCCATAATATATACCCTAAGAAATAAAGAAGTGAAGGGAGCATTTAAGAAGACAGTTTCACGGTTGTTCTCTGTACAGAACCCAACAAATTGAAAATCTGAACCATGGAGTATGGCAACAAGAAAAATCAATAAGCACAGAACATATCATTGGTGATTAAGGGTCTGTAAGTATATTGTTAAGGTCTAACTCATAACAGAGTTATTGCAGAAATGAACCTGATTCCAACCTAGCAATCTATATTGCCTGTACCTCAGCGATAATTTTGGAGTGATTCTTTGGTTTAACCATAAATCTGTAACTTATTTGATGATTAGATTTCTTATACTGTTTGCTGTACAGGAACCTCTACAGCATGATTAGTTTACTTCTACTTTTAATGTATTTTTCCTCTTTAAAAAAACTCATACTCGGAGACTTGCTGTATGGAATTTAAACAGAAAAAGGATTTAATTCACAACAAGAATAATAATCCCAAAATAATCCCATTATTTTTAATCCCATTATATATACCCTAAGAAATAAAGAAGTGCAGAAAGCTTATAAGAAAACAATTGCAAGGGTCTTCTCTCCACAAAACCCAACTAGCTGAATATCTGTAGAATCGAGTACAGAAAGAAAAAAAAAGTAAACACCAAATACGTTTCTACTTATTAAGGGGATGTAAATATTTCATTCAAATGTGGCTCGTGGCTGCATTATTGCAGGAAGCCAACCAGATCCCAACCCAATGCAACCTGGACTGTCTGTATATCAGTGGTCATTTGGGAGGGATTCTTGCTTTTAACTATAAATCCACATGTGCTTTGATTATTTGTTTTTGTAGACTGTTTGTTGTACAGGGACCTGCTTTTTACATGTGTCTTACATGATTATTCAACAGCTGAGTGTGAAGCACACTCAGTAACAATGGTTTTTCCG